ACAGGAACGCAGGAAGAAGGAAGGAGGGAGGAAAGGAGGAAGGAAGGGAAAGAGAGAAGGGAAGGGGAAAGAGACAAACACAGGAATGCAGAAGGAAGGAAGGAAGGAAACACAGGAAGGAGGAAGGAAGGAAGGAAGGGAGAGAGAGAGAAGGGAAGGGGAAGGAAACAAATACAGGAATGCAGGAGGGAGGAAGGAGGGAGGAAAGGAGGAAGGAAGGAAGGAAGGAAGGAAGGAAGGAAGGATAGAAGGAAGGGAGAGAGAAGGGAAGGGAAACAAACAAACACAGGAACACAGGAAGAAGGAAGGAGGGAGGAAAGGAGGAAGAAAGGAAGGTAGGAAACATAGGAAGGAAGGAGGGAGTGAGGAAACAAACAAACAAGCACAGGAAGGAGAGAGGGAGGGAAGGAGGAACTTATTTGGAGGTCCTTCGAAAATGTTTGGCTTCCCCCCAAACTTAACATTTTACTTCATTCCCTTCTGTAATACCTCCCCTTCCTTCTCCCCTCTGCCTCTCCTTTCTCAATGCCCCTCTTTGCCCACTAGGCAAGACAGCCCCCTCATCCCCATTCCAACTGAGTTCCTCACCAGCCAGGCCACGGGTTCAAGTTCAACCAACGCTTCTGCCCCCGCCCTCCCGGAGGATTCAAGGCCTGGGGTCCCTCTAGATTGATGGCCAAACCAGGCCTGGAACGGGTGCCTGATGGGGAGAGCCAATCAGGGGAGGGGTCTGCAGGATTCCGTGGTCCGGTTGACAGTTGGATCCAAGGAAAATGGCGCCTCAGCGGCCCCCTAAAAGGGACAAGAAAGAGAAAAACTCAAAAATCCCGTCTTTCTTTCAAGCCTCATGTCTTCTCGGTCTCCTCAGAGACTGATGGCTCCTCATCATATCCACTAACCATCATGGTTAGTTGATTCAGGCTTACGGCAATTGGGCAAGCCCAGCCTTATCCGTTGGTCAATCATGGCTTCCTTGTGGCTCAGCTGGGAGAAAGCTACCAGTTAACCATGGTTAAGCCAACCTCCAACTTTGGAGGAGTCTGCAGCCCTAGAGGCAACAGAGCTCTCCTCAGCCCTTTGACCAGTAAGAAACCAGGATTCAATAAATAATCATGATCTATTGAAATGGTATGCCACCACCCCCAACCGTCAATTATATTGCAAAGAAGGCAACAATGAAGTGCTCCCTGCCTGCAGTTTCGCAGCCACATTTTTGTAAAACAGTCTAACTGGAGGTGGAACACAATTAATGTTAACACAATCCAAAAAAAATACAGCAAACTTGTTCATTGTGTTCATAGATTAGAATTGGGAAAGGACGGTGAAGGGTGCCCTCCGGTGGCCAGATGCAGGTACTGCAGCAGCCAAGAACCAGTACATTTCAGATTAACAGAGTTGGAAGGAACCTTGTAGGTCATCTAGTCCAACCCTCCTTCCCCCCCACCCTACGCCATTTTGGACAGATGGATTGCAGACATTTTTTTAAAAAGAATCACTAAAATAACAGTCTTTGATGTACAATAGTTTGTTTAGTAAGCATTCAAAGTTACACTGGCACTGAAAAACATGACTTACAACCATTTCTCACACTTACGACCGTTGCACTATCCCCACAGTCATATGATCAAAATTCAGATGCTTGGTATAACGGACTCCTATTTACAACGGTTGACAAGTAATGGGGAAGCCCAGCCTTGCTTTTCTCCACGTTAAATTTCAAGTTGTTGGATAGGGCCCATTGTTCAAGTCTGCCAAGATCGTTTTGGATCCTGAGCTTGTCTTCTGGGGTGTTGGCTATTCCTGCCAGCTTTAGTGTCATCTGCAAATTTGATGAGTTCCCCTTCTATTCCCTATAAGTCATTTAAGTCATTAAACAGATGTAACTTTGGTTACTCTATAGAAGTGGATAAATGGCAAAAGTTGTGGGATAGGAATTATAAATTAACAATGCCTACTGTATACAAAAGAAAACTTACATAAAATGTTTTAGAGATGGCACTTCCCACCAGCAAGATTAGCTAAGATGTTTAAAGATATGCCTGCTAAATGTTGGAAGTGTAATCAGATTTTGGGCTCCTACCACCACATGTGGTGGACGTGCCCAAAGGCAAAAGCATACTGGACAAAAACACATATTTGGATAGAAAAAAATGACCAAGGAACATATAGATGTAAAACCAGAAATATTTCTGTTGGGTATCATGCCAGGAAAATATAATAAAGGGACTATGTATCTGATACTACATGTGTTAACATGGCCAGAATTGTATTTGTGCAACATTGGAAAGAGGCAGCGATCCTTACAGAAGAGAATTTTAAAAAAAAAAAAAAAAACTAGAATGTGCAGAAATGGTTAGATTAACACTTGAAATTAAAGAGAAGGAATATTTTGAAATATGGGATTCGTTTTATCAATGGTTATTGAACAGAAACAGAAGTTAGAACATTTAAAGTTATAAGAGAAGGGCTAATTTTACGAGGAGGGCTTATTACGATATGTTTATTATTAATATGAATTAGTATTCATAAGTATTAATGACAAGAAAACACCGTTATTATATTAAGTACTAAGGAACATTATTACAATGATGATGATGGCTCAAACTAACTGTAACCAGACAACACACTGTTTACATAGATCTTGAAACTGTTGCTCTTTCTTTATATAGCAAAAATAAAAATATGTTTGAAAAAAACCCAGATGTATCCAAGAGTGGAGGGATGCAATTTCTTCTTTGATCCCTCCTACCTCTTCCTCCTCTTTTTGTGACATCTGGTTATCCCCTCTGGTTTCTCCGGGGGGTGGGGGGAAAATTTAGCAACTGGTTCTCTGCCCGGTTGCTGGGTGGGCGTGGCTTGGTGGGCGTGGCAGAGGAAGGTGACTGCAAAATCCCCCTTCTCTCCCCACCCCGCTAACCTGCTTTCCAGCTCCGTTCTCCTGTGCAGGGCAACCCAAGGAGACCCAGCCAATCAACTGGGACTCAGTAGGAGGCAGAGAAGAAATGGGGGCCAGGCCAGTCAGAGGTAGGATTGGCCGCTTCTCCGAACTACTCAAAATTTCCACTACCAGTTCTCCAGAACTGGTCAGAACCGGCTGAATCCCACCTCCTCGGTCTTTCTCTCCTCCTTGACCGAAGCCCATCCTCAAAGCAAAAAGCAATTCTCTTCCACAAGAAAGACATTTCATTTTATTTTTTAAAAATGGCAAACAAAGAGAGTAGAAAAATCTCAACGGAGGAGCAGGAGGCCAAGGAGCCCCTTCCTTAAATTTCGGGCACGGAGGGGACATTGGAAGTGATGTTCTTGGGTTTTTTGCGCCTCCCCCTATCCAGCCTTCGGAACGGATTCGATCGGCGTTGGGATCCCCGGACGTTAATCCTTTTGATGGCCTGGGCAGCGAGAAGGTTCCGGATCTGCAGAAAGCTGCTCTGTTTGGTCTCGGGGATGTTCCTGAAGATAAACACGAAGCCAGCGATGCAAAGAGGCCAGAAGAGGAGAAAGCTGTAGGATCCAACTTTAATCTGGTGGAGAAAATGGGCCAAAAGAGATAGCAGTCAGCATAATGTAGAAAGGGGCTCTTTTTCGGCTGACTCCCCCTCCCCAAAAAAGAACATTTCTCACCCCACCCCACCCCAAAAAAAACACCTCAGAAATAATCAAGAGGCAGCTGGACTTCCTTTGTTTTTTCCTTTGAAGGCATTTCGCTTCTCATCCCAGAAGCTTCTTCGGTTCTAAGTGAATGGTGGGGGAATGGAAGGATTTATATTCCTTGCAGTCTTCAAAGGGAAAAAAAACAAAACAAAGAAAGTCCAGTTGCCTCTTGAAAAAGCACCTTTTTGGGACAACCATGATCTGGATGGCTGAGAATGTCCCTAGACATAGACACTCTGTGTGTGTGTGTTTAAATAAGAAGGGGGCTCAGCGACCAATTCAAATTCACTCACCTCAACCTCAAAGACCATAATCCCAGTTATAATTCTTAGAAACCAATGGACAAACCCCCCCAGGACAATTCCCGTCGATCTGGAGGACTGAAGGAACAGTTCAGCTATGATGATATTTGGTATTGGACCTGCAGGAGGAAGAGGAGGAGGTGAAGGAAGAGGGGGAAGAGGAGGAGGAGGAGGAGGTGGGGAGAGGGAGGAAGAGGAGGAAGAAGAAAAAGGGGAAGAGGAAGAGGAGGAAGGGAGGGAAAGGAAAAGGAGGAGGAGAAGGGCAGGAGATGTGGGGGATGGGAAGGAAAAAGATGAGAAGAGGAAGAAAAGGGGGAAAAGAAGGGGAAGAGGCGGAAGGGAGGGGAAGGAGGAAGAGGAGGAAGAGGAAAAGGAGGAAGAAAAGGGGGAAAAGAAGGGGAAGAAGGGGAGGGGAGGGGAAGGAGGAAGAGGAAGAAGAGGAGGAAGAGAAGAGGAAGAAGGGGAACAAAATGGAAAGAGGAGGAGGGGAGGGGAAGAAGAGAAGGAGGAGGGAGAGGGAGAAGAGGAGAAGGAAAAAATGGCGGTCAGAAAGGCACTCCCCCAATTATCCTCCATGTCCCCCCCAGATGAAGATGCCTTACCTGGACCTATCATGTGTCCAATGAGGAGCATGATCAGGAAAATATAAGTGACGTAAGACAACCAAGAGACCGTCATCTGTTGGAGGAAGTTTATTTATATTTATTTATTAAATTTAGTCCTCCACTTATGACCACAGCTGAGCCCCAACATTTCTGTTGTGAAGGGAGGCATTTGTTAAGTGGGTTTTGCCCCAGTTTGACTACCTTCTTTGCCACCGTTGTTAAGTGAATCATGGAATTTTGATCCTGTGACCACAGAGAGGCTGCAATTGGTCGTAAGTGTGAAAAAAACAGTCATAAGTTACGTTTTTAGTGCGTTGTAACTTTGAGCGGCCACTAAATGAACTGTGTTAGGAATATAAGTCACCTAATAGGTATTTGGGTTGGAAATATATAAGCTAGGATAGACATTTTAGTACTATAAGAAAATGCAAAACTGTAGTTGGGTGTGGTTTTTCAAACGGCCATAAGATGGAGCCAGAAACCTGGGTTGTTTTAGTCTTAGTCTCAGAAGAGAGTGTATCTCTGTTTCCTTCTGTTGGAAAGTATTGTCCTTCCTCCATTTCTTCTAATTGACTGATATTACTGGATTTAATGTAAGTCTGTTACTGAACTGTTTTTTGACACTGGACTTTGATATTTGGATTATCTCTGGATTGAAAACTGACTGATTTAACTTGTGAATGACTTTGGATTCTTGTTTGGACTTTGCTTAACGTTTCTGGAAGTAAAAACCTACATTTACTGTACAGTGTATCTGTGTGCTCTGTGTGTATTATTCCAACACTACTCTCTATACGTCTATGCGTATAGATAGTATGCGCTCATTCTCCTAACGGGGAATTACCTCAACAAACTGCTGTAAGTTGGGAACTACCTGACATCTCACTGATGAAGCGGTTCACAAAATGCCGAATTTTAAGGTCCTCCCAGAAGGACAAACGGGTTCCCAGAAATTATGGGATTTGGGGGGGGGGGGGGGGGGAGGCATCCCACACTTTGCTATGAGTGCTGCGGTGGCCTAGAGATGGAGTTCTTGCCTCACAATCAGGAGGCTGTGAGTTCGATCCTAAGTAGGGGTAACTATCTTTCTCTCTGGGCACAATGAGAATATATCGGCTGAACAAAACTCCTCATCGCCAACAGGAAAGGCATCCGGCCAAGGAAACACTCAGCTCCATGCCGTTACCCAGATTTATGGGATCATTAAAAGGAGATGATGATCCCATGCTTTGCTATTTCGGAACCCTCCAAAGTTGGTCACCCCAACCTGAGACAATCAAAGGGATGGACAAATAAGTTTGGGCAGAAGACACAAATCCCTGCCCTCCACCAATAACCCCATCACAACCCTGAAGTTTGTGGTGGGGACCAATTTTCACATTTTTAAAACAAAAGGCCTCGCCCCAAATCCAGCAGAAAATATTGGGGCATGTTTGGCCTGTTGGATTTGTGTTTTTTCCCCCAAGGAAAAGGTGGGCGAGGGGGGGAGGGGTGTTTCCTCACGATTTTTGGAGAAGTTTCAATTGCATACCTGGAGTTCCTGAGATATGGTCAACAAGACACAGAAGGTGCTACAGGTGCCAAACCCCACCAGGATTAAGAGTCTTCGCCCCAAGCTGTCGACGCTATAGGTCTACAGGGTTAGAAGATCCAAGATGGAAAGGGAACCTAAGCCACGATTCTTTTCAACTATGGTTTGTCAAACAAGCCAAAACTGGCTGGGCGTAGCCACCATCATTCTAAAGCCATGTTTCCTCGGCTATTTGAAGATCAGAGGAGGGTATTCAGCCAGTTCTGACCAGTTCTGGAGAACCAGTAGTGGAAATTTTGAGTAGTTTGGAGAACCGGCCAATCCCACCTCTGACTGGCCTCGCCAACCCCATCTCTTCTCTCCCTCCCAAGTCCCAGCTGATTGGCTGGGTCTTCTTTGGTTGCCCAGTACAGGACAACGGAGCTGGAAAGCAGGATCTTTTGTTGCCCCGCACAGGAGAACGGAGCTGGAAAGCAGGTTAGCAGGGTGGGGAGAGAATGGGGATTTTGCAGTAACCTTCCTCTGCCACGCCCACCAAGCCACGCCCACCAAGCCACGGCCACAGAACTGGTAGCAATTTTTTTTTGAATCCCACCACTGTTGAAGATGCGTGGACTTCGACTCCCAGAATTCCTAGCCCGCGTGGAGAATGCTGGGAGTCGAAGTCCACATATCTTCAAATGGCCAAGGCTGCAAAATTTGCCTTTTGCAAAACTTTGCCTGAAAGCACAGAGACCTTAAAGGAGTGAAGCCTGAATCAAGGTATGCCAAACCACCATGGAGCAAACCATGGTTTGTTTTCTGGGCTAAAGTTGGTCATGGTTTGTCCCAAAGGGCCTTTTTTATTTCCAGGAGGCAACCGGACTTCCTGATTTTTTCTTTCTTCGAAGACTGTTTCGCTTCTCATCCAAGGAGCTTCTTCAGCTCTGACTGGATGGTTTTCTGGACTGAACCCCGTTGGGTTTGAACGAAACTGGCCAGAGGCCCCATGGATGGAAACACGGAGGTGGAGAACTCACCACAAATAACAAGGTCAGAAGGACGAATGTGGAAGAGACGATGCTGATGTATCGAGCTTTGTACTCATTTAGCCACTTGGTTCTGTAGATCGTCTCGGCGTAATAATACACCTGGAAGGAGAACCCCACCGCCAACAATTCCATTGTTCCAAAGACCTTCTAATTTGAAAGCATCAGAAAGCCCTCCATATTCCTTGACATGCCATGGTGCCAACGTTGAAGTTCTCCAGATGCTTCAAGAACTTCGTTTTCCAAGCTCCCCGGCCACCAAAGGGATGGAAACTGGGATCATCGTAGACCCCAGTTGGCCATGTCCAACCAACCCTGATGTCCCCCCACCCTTCCCCTCAAGCCATCCCCAGCCTGGGCCTTACAGCGTTGACGCCCGAGAATTGTTGTCCGGCTATCAAGAGGATAACCGAGATGATCTGCTTCCGTAGACCTTTGTAGGTAAGCCGACTGAACACACTGAGTCCTTTTTCTTCCATCTCAGCTATATCTTCTTGGTGAAGTTCTTCTATCTCTTCCTCAACGTCCTCCTTGTCTCGTAGGATCCTCAAGACTGGACAGGAGAGGAAAAGAACACCCCCACCCCCCCAAAAAAATCCCATGTTAGTACATCTTCTACACAAAAACGTTCCAAACCCACCTGCGCCATCAAAACAACAGTGAACCCTCCAAATTCTTTCTGAGACCAATTATGGAACATCTTGAGATGTTCGTATCTCATGGCTGAATTGGATCTGGCATTTTTTTGGACCGAAAAACACCTGGCCTACGTCCAAATAAATGCAGCCGCCTTGGAGCTGAGGGTAGGTCAACTTGTAAAACATTCCTACGCCAGTTTCCAAGTTGCCGTACTAAACCCGGAAGGAGCACACGGCAAATGAATTCAGAAGCACATTCCTGGCTTATCTCACAAAGATTGTAACGGAGGCAACCAGGTATTCTGGGCACAGACATCCTCTATTGGAGAGCGTGATTGACACCTAGCCCATGAATGCGTTCCATTGGACAATCTGAATTATGATACACCCAGAGGGGTGGGGGGAAAACAGGGTCATAGGTGATTGTAAATTACGTATCTCAGAGTCAGTTTCATACAGATCATGCCAGCATGTCGTTCCTAATAAATCCTTTGAAGTTTTTTGAAGGCTGATGATTTAATTAGGGCGATCACTGGAATTCTGACAGGGTACAATTTTCAGACTGGATTTGCAACCCTGGTTTAAGATTTGAATTTTTTTTTAGGTGCCAGGGCATATGGGACATGTTGGGACATTCCTAGATGCCCAGTTCAAACCACTGCTGCTTTCTTGATATAACTCAACACCATTCTTTGTATGGTTTAGCCTCCAGCTCTTCTCTGTCTACTTTCTAATGTCTCAACGTCTTTTTTTATAGTGTGGTGACCAAAACTGGATGCAGTACTCTAGGTGTGGCCTTACTAAGGCTTTACAGAGTGGTATTAGTCCCTCACTTGATCTTGATTGAAATCCCTCTGTTAATGCATTTTAGGATTGCATTGGCTTTTTTGGCTGCCGCCGCACACTGCTGGCTCATATTTAACTGGTTGTCCACTAGGACTCCAAGTTCCCTCTCAGAGTTACCACTATTAAGCCTGGTTTCACCCAATCTGTACATGCACTTTTGATTTTTCTTGCCTAAGTGTACAACGTCGAATTTCATTTTGTTAAGACAGGGCCCAGCGTTCAAGTTTGTCGAGAAGATGGGGGCTGGTGTTACCTTTCCTTGCTTTCTCCTCATTCTTCCTCTGAATCAACAAAAAACGTGGACTTTCAGGGAAGTTGGGCAGAATGAGCAGCTGGAACACTGCGAGAATCCCAGTTAAACTCAGCAAGATGGCCCATTCTGTGTCAGGGGAAGAAACCAAGTCAACAACGTGGCCAAACCTTCAAACCCTCGCTAGAGCCCTTCCAACTTACTTCTCTTGGAACCTAGAAATTCGTGAAGACCAAGGATCTGTGAGAACAGGACCCCGACACCGATGGCAATCACCGCCATGGTGATGATGCCTCCTCTTAAATTTCGGGGAGCGATTTCGGCAAGGTACAACGGCACGGCACAGGAGAAGATCCCTGGTTTAAAGGGGGAGACAGAGAAGAGTCCAATGATCTCCGGGCGACGAGAGAACCTCTTATACAAGTCTAAAAAGTTCCGGGGTTCAAGGCTACAAATTCAATTTGGCAACCACATAAGGGAGGTGGAACCCCAAATGCTAAGCCCTGTACTATATCAAGGCCCCGAAAACGGTTAGCTTCTCTACCAGCTAGTTGAGATGCTCAGAGAAAGTTGCACATTATCGCAAACAATCAGGCTGATCGCTGGGCCTTCTTTGGTTGCCCTGCACAGGAGAACGGAGCTGGAAAGCAGGTTAGTGGGGTGGGGAGGGAATGGGGATTTTGCAGTATATCCTTCCATTGGAGTGGGGTGGGAATGGAGATTTTGCAATATCCTTCCCCTGTCATGCCCACCAAGCCATGCCATGCCCACCAAGCCACGCCCACCAAACCGGTAATTAAAAAAATCGAATACCACCACTGTGATAGAGGAATATATATATATATATAT